GGGAGGAGCCAACCGACGGCGAATCTTCCGAACTCAAACTTCGCCTCCCGTAGTAAAGGGAAAACACCTGCAACAGCTGTTGACACCAATCAGACGTCGCAACAGCAACCCCGAAGACAGCAGAAGACTTCGGGTTCAAGACCCCAAAAAGAGTACTCCTTCAAGGATGAAGATGTTCCAGCCATTTTCGAGTCCCTCCTTGAAAACAACAAGATCAAGCTGCCACCTGTCGTAAATCAGGAGGAAGCTGACAACACTGCGGATCCGAAATACTGTGCGTACCACAGGAGGATCTTTCATCCCACCAAGGATTGCTTTGCGCTCAAAAATAGCATCCAAACCTTGGTTGAAGCCGGCGTCATAACGCTGGGATAAGCCAAACGAGAACGGCTACACTCCGAAGAGTATACGAGTATAAACTGCTTCTCAATTACTCCAATAGGTATATGAGTTCTAACTGTTATCCAATTTGACGGGGAAGTCCAGGGGGTGAGATTTTGTAAATTAAGGATCAACCGCGATCATGTAACCGAATGCCAATCGATTAAACCAGCTTTCCGAAGAAGCTGGAGGCTTAGTGGATGAATCACGTAACGCGGGAGTTCCCGGAAGAATACTATAATGTAATTTCCTTAGGTAACCCGATCAGTTTGACAGAACAAGTGATAACACTAAACCACCTCGTGACTTTCCGAACCTCTTTTTTGTTTTGTTTCTGCTGAGACGGAGACTTCGAGTCTGGTTCGTTGTGCAATCCCCTCTCTCTCCTCACACAAACTCTGATTGCGGTGTTTGACGACAGATCAACATTTCCTCACAAAATCCGCTGCATGGTCAAATCACATTGACGGTGCGGTCCACTAAGATTGTTTCTATCCGCAGTTGCATGTGGGCAATTCTTCACAGAGCCTTGACGTGTTAAGTCCTGATCCATAAATCACCACTCCCTCTCCGAGTGGCTAGTACAAACCAGTATTTCTACTGCTACTTGTATTCCACTCCCTTTGCTTTCAGGTCAAACCTATAAAAGTTAGGGCCAAAGCCAGATTCCCCTCTCGATTTCTTCTATGAACGAGAGGTCCACTTTCAAATTGAGCAATCAAACTTATAAAAGTTAGGATTGTCTCCAACTTCACTTAGTCAAATCTGCAGATAGTTAGGACTAAGATTGAGTTATCCCTTTCGATAAACGAAAGATTTTCATCTTTTCCTTTTTTCAGCTAAACCTATAAAATTTAGGGTCGAAATCGGAATTTCCCCTCAATAAATGAGGAACTCTTTTCTTGGATCAAGCAACCAATCCTATAAAAGTTAGGGTTACTTGAATCTTTCCGATTCTCGGAGTGGAGATCTCACTCCTAGTTTCATCTTTCCAGATTCTGGGGGTGAAGATCCCACCTCGAGTTTCCTTTCCAACTGGAGATAGAATATAAAATTCTTCCTCTTCAGTGTTGAGAGATAGAATATAAAATTCTTCCTCTCCCATTTCGGGTTCGTCTTTGCCCCAAGAGAAGACAACACTTTTTCAACTCCCAAAATCCGTGCCTCACAAGTACGGGGAATTTTATCCCGAATCTTGAGTAGGGATAAGTCAACGCCTAACACGCGTTGCCGGTTTAGTCTTTCACCGATTGAAAAAGACACCAGAATCTAGTCTGGGGTATTTTATCCCGAAGCCTAAGTAGGGATAAGTCAGCGCTTAACACGTGTTGCCGGGTGGTTCGTTCCCGTAAAAACGATCGAGTCTACGTATTCAGTATCGTAGCAACAAAAATTCATGCTTTTTATGCATGGGGAATTTTATCTCGAAGCCTAAGTAGGGATAAGTCAACACCTAACACGCGTTGTTGGTTAGTTCTTAACCGTAAAAAAAGAACAAAAGCCCACATATTCAATATTATGACAGGTTGTTATTAATAACACCAAAATCCGTGCCTCACACGCACGTGGAATTTTATCTCGACTCCTTAATAGAGATAAGTCTACGCCTAACACGCGTTGCCGGTTTAGTCTTTCACCGAGTGAAAAAGACACCAGAATACGAGTCTGGGGACGTTTATCCCGAATCCTAAGTAGGGATGAGTCAACGCCTAACACGCGCTGCCGGGTGTTATATTCCCGTAAGAATGGCGTAGTCTATGTATTCAAAATCATAGCGCCAAGTCTAGGAGAATTAACTCTCTTAGCGCAACGTTACATGTGAAACGGGTTTTAATAATTCACATGCTAGCCCGATTCAAACGGTAATCGGTAAAGGCACATCAAACCCGTTGAAGGCTGGGGGTTTGCCAAAAATCCTAAAGACTATGTCTAACACACATCGCCGGTTTAGTCTTTCGCCGACTGAAAAAGACACCAAAGTCTAAATCTGGGGAATTTACCCCGAAGCCTAAGAAGGGGTAAGTCAACGTCTAACATGCGTTGCCGGTTTAGTCTTTCACCTATTGAAAAAGACACCAGAATCTAGTCTGGGGTATTTTATCCCGAAGCCTAAGTAGGGATAAGTCAGCGCTTAACCCGCGTTGCTGGGTGGTTCGTTCCCGTAAAAACGACCGAGTCTACGTATTCAGCTTCGTAGCAACAAAAATCCATGCCTTTTATGCGTGGGGAATTTTATCCTGAAGCCTAAGCAGGGATAAGTCAATGCCTAACACGCGTTGCCGGTTAGTCCTTAGCCGTAAAAAGAACAAAAGCCCACATATTCGATATTGTGGTAGGTTGTTATTCATAACGCCAAAATCCGTGCTTCACATGCACGGGGAATTTTATCCCGAATCCTGAGCAGGGATAAGTCAACGTCTAACACGCGTTGTCGGTTAGTCTTTTGCCGTGAAAAGGACAAGAGCACACATATTCGACATTGTGGCAGGCCGTTATTAATAACGCCAAAATCCGCGCCTCACACGCACGGGGAATTTTATTCCGAACCCTAAGTAGGGATAAGTCAACGCCTAACTCGCGTTGCCGGTTTAGTCTTTCACCGATTGAAGAAAACACCAGAATTCCAATCTGGGGATTTTTATCCTGAAGCCTAAGTAGGGATAGGTCAGCGTCTAACACACGTTGCCGGGTAGCCTATTCTCGTAACAATGGCGAAGTCTACGTATTCAATATCGTAGCATCAAGTCTAAATGAGTTCATTCCTTTAGCACAACGTCACATGCGGAACGGACTTAAACAATCCGCATGCAAGCCCAATTCAAACGGTAATCAGTAAAGGCACGCCAAATCCGTTGAAGGCCGAGGATTTGCCAAAAACCTTAAAGTCTACGTCTGATACACGTCGCTGTTTAGTCTTTTCACAGGAGAAAGACGAAGTCTACGTATTCAATATCGTAGCACTAAAAGAGTTAACTCTTTTAGCATAACGTTACATGCGGAACGGACTTAAACAATCCGCATGCTAGCCCGACTCAAACGGTAGTCGGTAAAGGCTCATCAAACCCGTTGATGGCTGAGGGTTTGCCAAAAATCCTATAAATACGAAAGTCACTGACGCATCAGCTTCTTTAGTTGGTCTCGTGACCTGAGCAACATACGACGTTCAAAACCCTAAGGTCTACGCCAGACAACGCGTAACCTTAGGTCAACGCCAGTCAACGCGTTGCAAGCAAAAAATTCAACGTACGACGTAACAGGTATAGGAACCTGAATATTGTCAAAAGTAACTGTATGGATTGGATCTAAAGCCAATTCTTCCTCAAAACTAATGTCTCTTGTAGGCGTCTAAAATTTCCTATGAGAGCCCGCACGAAACTCGAAGCAATGAATGGGCGAGTCAAGAAGATTCACCCAATTAGCTCGTGCGCGTCGGTCAGCGCGCGTACGTCAAATCATCGCGTGCACGTCAAACCAACTCGTGCGCGCCGGTCAACGCGCGCACGTCAATCAGCCTGCGCGCATCGATCAGCACACGTATATTAACCAACGCGCGTTCGACGATCGGTCTCGCGACAAAGCATACAAGTCAACAAATCGACCGAATACGCGACAAGAATAAGTCCCGGAAGAAAGAAAACAGAAAAGGGAAAAAGTCGGCGAACCCGCGCTAGCGCAGGACGGGATGATCGGACCCGCGCAAGCTCGGGACGGATCAATCCGACCCGCACATGCGCGGGTCGGATCAATCCGACCCGCACATGCGCGGGTCGGATCAATCCGACCCGCGCAAGCGCGGGTCGGATGATTCCGACCCGCGCAAGCGCGGGTCGGATCGGTCTGCCACGCAGTAATGTACCCAAAACGCGTTTTGACGGTTTTAAAGTGGTTTTTCGCAGGATTCATCTGTTCCAGGGGTTCTTAACTGACTTGAGATCATCCCCAAACGTGGTTAGGCTGTTGTCAACTGAAGATAGAGCCAAATCACTTGTTCTCATCCAAATAACCGCTTCCGGATCCCTATAAATACAAGCCTAAGGCCTCCTTTCAGCGGGGGCGATTGATTATCAAGACGAGGAAGTGTTGCCGGATTGTGGAGTCAAAGGAGCACAAATTTTAGCGAGGATTGACAGATCTTGGCGAGTTCTTCGGCATAAAGAAGGAGAGTTCGAGAGATCCGACGCCCGTTCCCGTCCGTCCCTTGAGATTAGGCTTGGTCTTAATCTCGAGAAGAGCCCTGATTTCGCTTGGTCGATCTCAACGCTTCAAATCAAATACTTCCTCGGTGAAGACGAAGCTCTGCCGAATTTTTCATCAACCAGATCCAGATCAAAGGCGGTCCACGGATAAACCCCGGCACAGGCAAAGATCTCACGCAAGCAGAAGACCGATAAACGATCTCTCTGCGTTTGTTTTGAACGAGAGTTGTATTTTTTTTTATTTTCATTGTGTAAGAGTCTTATAAAAAGACCATCTTTTTGTATTTTCATTGTAACGACCGAAGTTGTAATGAATACCGCAATGAATATAATAATTTTCGACGCAAACAATAATGTTACCAAACAATAACATTACCTACCTCTCTCCATCAATGCTCCTCCCTTTCCCTTACCCACTCACTGCCTCTCTCACAACATCCTCAGTGACCACATGCCAGCTGTCCTACAAAAACACACCCCAAACAAAATCCCTTCTCATTTCATCACTCTCACTCTCCTACCAACAAAAGCAAATGAACCCCTCTTGCTTACTCCTAAACCTAGCCATAGCCATGACCATGATGGTGGTCATGGCCATGGCCTCATCCTCCCCCTTCATAGGCATAGGAGGCAGCATTGGTGTCTTCATCAACAACCCAAATGACTCCCCCCCTCCCTCCCCTTCTCAAGACCTCAACAGTGACTATTATGCCCTCCAAGCCTTCAAATCAGCCATCGCTGAGGACCCAAATGGGCTTCTCACCTCATGGGCGGGCCCAAATATCTGCTCCTACAGAGGAATCTTCTGCTCAATCCCCCAGGAGTCCCTCTCTGATTCCCAATCCCAAGCAGTTCTTGCCATTGATCTCAACCATGCAAACCTCAAAGGCACCCTTGTTAAGGAACTGTCTTTACTCTCTCACCTCTCAATACTCCACCTCAATTCCAATAGATTCTCAGGCACAATCCCTGATTCCCTCCAAAACTTGCACTTTCTATCTGAACTTGACCTCAGCAACAACCATTTCTCAGGCCCATTTCCAGCTCCAGCTCTCCTAATACCAAATTTGATATATTTAGACCTCAGGTTTAACTCATTCTCAGGAGAAATCCCCGATGAACTCTTCGAAAAGGACCTTGATGCAATATTCCTCAACGACAATCAGTTCGAGGGTCAGATTCCAATGAGCCTCTGGGGCTCATCGGCCTCTGTCATCACCTTGGCCAACAACAAGCTCTCTGGCTCCATCCCTGCTAGTTTCGGCTATATTAGATCCAACCTAAAACAGATACTGTTCTTGAACAATAAGCTCACTGGTTGCATTCCGGAGGCCATTGGATATTTAAATGATGTCGAGGTTCTTGATCTCAGCTTCAATTCTCTTTATGGGAAGCTTCCAGGCACAGTTTCCTGCTTATCAGGGATTGAAGTGTTAAACATTGGGCATAATCAATTGTCAGGGGAATTATCTGATATTGTTTGTGATCTAAGGAGCTTGGCTAATTTGACAGTGGCCTATAATTTTTTTTCTGGGTTTAGTCAGGATTGTGCAAAGTTGTTCTTCAGGAATGTGGGGTTCGATTTTTCGGGGAATTGTATACCGGGGAGAGATATGCAGAGGCCAGAGCCGGAGTGTTCTCAGGTGCCAGGTGAAGGGTTGAGTTGCTTGAGGACGCCGGTGCCGAAGATTGTGGCTTGTGCTGTGGCTGGGATTGAAGGAGGGAGAGGCTATCCATTTCCCAGTTCACTTCCTTCTTCTATTCCTTGAAAACGTGCGTCAACTTGCTCAGTAACAGTGGTTTATCTGCAATTGGATTAAGTTTTAATTGTAGTTGAAAAATTGAAAATATTTCTCCTGTTGTCACATCAAATTGAATGTAGTTGTAGAGGACAACTAGTTTTTGTATGGGTTTGTCAGGGTTTTCTATTGAATTCTGGATGACGTAATTTGGTTGAGAAGTTGGTCGTAGCTTTGATGGGTTCGTCTCAAATATCATCCAAATCCACAGTGATTGTTGCTTCACTTTTTCAAGAAGGTGCAACCTCAAAAATACTTTTGCTTCAATGAATGTGTATGCTGTGTGTTGTTCTTAAGCGCAATATGAGGTTCATCTACCTTCATGTTCTCCAATTAATACATGTTCTTTCAAACTTCTCAAAGAACTGATGAATATGTGCTTGTTACCACATGCACTAACTCTCTATGTAAATGAGAAATGATGTTCGCATAAGGGTCTGGAAGAACAGATGAATACGTGCTTGTTACCATATGCACCAACTTACTATGTAAATGAGAAATAATGTTCGCACAAGGGTCTACATTCCATGGCAGTAGTTTGTTGAAATCAAATATTTTGCTGTTTCACGACTCATAGTATGTGGAATGCATCATCCTGAAAAGCTTCAAAAAGGATATTGCCTGCGCCGTCATGGACTATAACATGTTCTTTACTATTTTATTATTCTTCTGCATCATTATTTTGCTATCAAGTGTGTCAATGGTTAGTTCATTCAAGTCAGGAACAACCTATACTCTAGTGAACTGCAACCCAGGTGAAATCGTCCCAGATTCACGTGGAACACAACCCGGCTCACCAACTCCAGCAACCGGATTAAGAATCCAAACCAGTTAAACAATTTTTAAAAGATAACTCTTTTTAAAGAATAAACAACAAATAAACGTGAGAAACTAAGCAAATAAAATATGCATATCTGAATTGGAACATGATTCTTAAGGTTCTTTTACCATTACCGATATCAACTAGCATTAAAGAACTGAACCTGAAGTACACGACATTCCCTGGCATACTATATAGCCTACCCCTCTCATACCCAATTCGTAATGAGTGATGAACCAGAACGAACAAGATTCCATGTAATTATGGGTTAGCTCGTCAGTTGATCTCTTTCTCTTCACTTTCACGAATTGTTCAAATAGATGCTTGCTATCTAAGTCCTTAGCATTTTCCCATTCGTGTTGAGCTATTTCTGGAGAACAAATCTTGACATATAAAACAAGAGGGAGCAACTAACTTAATGATCCAAAAAGCAGAAACCGCTTTTATTTGACTTCACATTTAGAACACTGTTTTCTTTCTTCACCCTATGATTAAAAACCATTTGAGGGCAAAAAATTAAGCCCTACTTTCACATGTTTAAGGAAGCAACACCAAAATAAGTTAGCGAAAACAAAACCTCTTCAAGGCAATAGTAGGGTAATATTTATCAGTTATCACTTGATGTTGTGTATCCTTTTGGCTGAGGTGAGAGTGTTGGATAAAAGCATGGCTATGGTCATTGGCCCAACTCCACCAGGAACAGGAGTGATAGCGGACGCTATCTTGCATGCCTCTTCATAGCAAACATCACCAACCAATCGATAACCTCGAGGGCTTTCTGGGTCCTGGAACAGGAAAAAGTCAAATTTCAACAAATATTAATGAGTATATGTGATCACATTATATAATACCATGTTAATCTGAATGCAAAAGGAAGAGCATTTAAAGAAAGTTTCAAATGACAACAAGTCATTTAACCAAAATTATAAAACAGTAACAGCAGTATCAGCAGTATCAGCAACGAAGTTCTTATCCCAATTTTCTAGGATATAAATTGGATATTTGGGAAATGGACATGAATTGGATATGACGAGATATGTCATGTTAATTGGACACGATAAAAGATATCAGCAAAAAAAATTTGATGTTTCAGATAGTAATATCTAATGAAATTTCAACCATATTAACCTAAGCAAAACCTCACAAAACCAAAAATTGCATGCAATTGACTACAAAAAAGTACAAGGCAAGAAATTGAAACATAAAGTACTAAAAATTGTGGGAAAATCCGGTTTTCTAAATAAGGGAAACTGTGTGTGTACAGCTGTAATTAGCTAGGTGTACAACTGTAATTAGCTAGGATATTTTGTAATAATTCAGTCATTGTAATCCCTGATTCTAAGGGATTAATTATGGGTCAAATCCCTGATTCCAGGGAATTAATTATGGGTCAATATTTCTAGGATTAGTCAGTTTCCCAGTTTAGGGTTTCCTGATTTAGACCCTCTGAAGTGTATATATCAGTGTAATTTCATTTTGTTTTTAATATAATAGAATTCAGCCCCATTTTTGTCATGGTATCAGAGCTTTAGGCTCAATTCTGGGAGTTGTATTTCTTGTCTTGCGAATTCTGATATCGCTAGACGGCTTATTATCAATCCCCAATCAAACACTATCACCCTTCAAGTCTGTAACCCTTTTTTTCACCAAAAGATCATGTCCGGAACAACTGAAATTAGCAACACTGCGGCTACCTCAGAGGTCTCTTTGATTGAAGGCAACAACTCGGCTCCAACAGGGGAATTGCAGAACATCCAGGCAGCGTACAGGTTGAATGGGAAGAATTATCTGAAGTGGTCTTAACTAGTTCGCACATTCTTGAAGGGAAGAGGCAAACTGAGTCACTTACTCGGTACTGGGCCTAAAAAAGGGGATCCTAAATTTGATGCTTGGGATGAACAAGACTCTATGGTGATGTCTTGGTTATGGAACTCTATGCTTCCAGAAATCAGCGATACATGTATGTTTCTTAACACAGCCAAAGAAATATGGGAAGCTGTGAAGCAAACTTATTCTAAAGTTCGAGATGCTGCACAAATATATGAAATAAAGACCAAGATTTCATCTACCAAGCAAGGAAGTCGGTCAATCACAGAATATTCCAATCTGTTGCAGAGCTTATGGCAAGAGATGGATCATTACCAGTGCATTCAAATGAAGTGCGGCGAAGATGCAGTGCTCCTTAAGAGGTTAGTTGAAAAAGACCGAATTTATGATTTTCTTGCGGGACTGAATATTGAATTTGATGCAGTAAGAGTCCAAATACTTGGAAAAGAAGATCTGCCATCACTAAATGAAACAATTGCGATTGTTCGTGCTGAGGAAGGAAGGAGAGGAGTCATGATTGAAAATAATTCAGTGGACAGTTCAGCCTTGGTCACAAAAGCTGTAAATGAGAGGAAATTTGACTTGGAGCAACCAACTAATGAAGACAACAAGCAGACAGATTTTACAAGGCCGGCCAATAAAGATTCCATGTGGTGCACATACTGCAAAAGGTCCCGTCACACTAGGGAAAAGTGTTGGAAACTCCATGGAAAGCCACAGACAACAAACAAAAGTTTTACAGTGAAAGGTGGACAGCCAAAAAGACATGGGTATGCATACACAGCAAGCAGGCAACAAGCTGGAGAAGGTAATTCTCAAGAATCTTCTGTTGAGTTTAATAGAGAAGAAATTGAGAAACTGAAGAATCTACTGGGATCATTGGAGAAAACATCTTCAACAGGTACTTGCACTTTGGCATTCTCAGGTATATCTTCCTCTCTTCATGCTTCTAAAGTCTCGGATATATCCACCACAAGCTCCTGGATCATTGACTCAGGAGCTACAGATCACATGACCCACTCCTCACAAAAATTTATCTCATATACTCCTTGTCCTAGTAATAGGAAGATTATCATAGCAGATGGTTCTGTGACAACAGTGGCTGGTCAGGGAGATGTTTTTATAAGTGAAACCCTCACACTTAGAAATGTCCTCCATGTACCAAAATTGTTTACCAACCTTTTGTCAATCCAAAAGCTCACTAAAGATTCCAATTGCAATGTGGTGTTTTATCCCTCTCGATGTGTATTTCAGGAACAGGGAACGAGGAGGATGATTGGACATGCTAGAGAAAGGGATGGCCTATACTATCTTGAAGAACCCAGTGGTCAAGTTAGTGTTCCAAATTCCTCACCATTATCATTTCTTTCAGAGTCTTTTAAATCCAATAAAGACAAGATTTGGCTTCAGCACCTTCGTCTTGGTCACCCCTCATTTAGAGTCCTTAAAATTATGTTTCCTTTATTGTTCAAAGGATTAAATGTTGAAAAGTTTCATTGTGATGTCTGTGAACTTGCAAAACACAAACGTGCTTCTTTTCCAATAAGCAATAAAAGAACATCGGTTCCATTTACTCTTATTCATAGTGACATTTGGGGACCATCCACCATTTTAAACATTTCTGGGGCTCGATGGTTCGTTTCCTTCATTGATGATTGTACTCGTGTGTCTTGGATTTTTCTTATGAAAAATAAATCTGATGTAAGCTCTGTCTTTCCCATTTTTTACAACATGGTCAAGACACAATTTGGTATTGAAATTAAAAGATTTCGGTCTGACAATGCTAAGGACTATTTTAATCAGTTCCTCTCACCATATTTCCAGGAAAGAGGCATAATACATGAATCTTCTTGTGTTAGCACACCCCAACAAAATGGTGTAGCCGAACGGAAGAATGGTCACATTTTAGCTATCACGAGAGCATTCTTGTTTCAAAAAAATATTCCCAAACAATATTGGGGGGAAGCTGTTTTAACTGCTGCCCATATGATAAATAGATTGCCTACAAAGATTCTTGATTTTCAAAGTCCTATGCAAATTCTAACGAAATTCTTTCCTAGTTTCAATGCTTCAAGTAATCTTGTTCCCAAAATATTCGGTTGTGTTGCTTTTGTCCATGTGCATTCCCAAAACAGGGGAAAACTTGATCCACGAGCTGTAAAATGTGTCTTTCTTGGCTATTCTTCCACTCAAAAAGGGTACAAATGCTATCATCCTCCCACAAGAAAATTCTACGTGTCAGCTGATGTCACTTTTGCGGAAGAAGATAATTACTTTACTCGTCCTTATCTACAGGGGGAGATCTCCTTCATGGAAGATGAGGACAAGGATCTTTTTCTCCTTGATTTTCCATTGTCTTCTCCTGCTCATATCCCTATTGTCCATCCAAATACTCAAACTGTCTCCGTGCAGTCTGTTCCTATTAACCAGCCTGAGCCAGTCCAGCTTGAGCCAAATAGTCAGTCAATATCAATACGACCTGAGTCAGAGATTCAACCAAAATCCATACAACCCGAGACCGAGCCTCATACGCCCAAGTCACAAGAAGTGATTCAAGACACCACTCGTCCACTGCTGGTTTTTTCAAGGAGAAGGGCACCTGTGCAGGTTCAATCACCCAAATCAACTCCTGTTCTTGGACTTAGCGAGGTAATTGCTGAACCTATTTCTAATAAAGATGGTGCCACTGAAAATCTTGATCAAAGTGACTATGATATTCCCATTGCTATTAGAAAAGGAACTAGAGCATGCACAAAACACCCTCTGTACTTATTCATGTCATACAAGAATCTGTCCCATAATCACAAAGCCTTTCTCACTAGCCTAAACACAATCTCCATTCCCAAAACTATATCCGAGGCATTAGGTGATGAGAATTGGAAGAATGCCATGAAGGTCGAAATGGAAGCACTTGAGAAGAATAAGACATGGGACTTGATGAAATTACCAAGAGGGAAGAAACCGGTGGGATGTAGATGGGTATTCACGGTGAAATACAAGGCGGATGGTTCATTGGAGAGGTACAAAGCAAGACTAGTTGCTAAAGGCTACACTCAAACATATGGAATAGATTACCTTGAGACATTTGCTCCAGTTGCAAAGATGAACACCGTGAGAGTGTTGTTGTCATTGGCTGCCAATCGGGGCTGGAAATTACAGCAATTTGATGTCAAAAATGCCTTTTTACATGGTGATCTCGATGAGGAGGTCTATATGGATGTTCCACCAGGGTTCGGTCCAAATACAGGACAAGTAGTATGCAAGCTAAAGAAGGCATTATATGGACTAAAACAATCTCCAAGAGCTTGGTTTGGAAGGTTTGCCAAGGTAATGATCAATTTAGGATATAAACAGAGCCAAGGCGATCACACCTTATTTGTAAAGCACTCAGCTTCAGGGGGATTGACTGCACTATTAGTCTACGTAGATGACATTATAGTGACAGGTGATGATTTTGAAGGAATGGAGAATTTGAAGAAGTGCTTAGTAAAAGAATTTGAAATCAAAGAGCTCGGTAAGTTAAAGTATTTTCTCGGTATTGAGGTAGCACATTCTCGGGAAGGGATCTTCATATGTCAGCAAAAATACATAACAGATTTGTTGATGGAGACGGGCAAGTTAGGATGCAAACCAACAGAGACGCCTATAGAGTTCAACCACAGGCTTGGAGATGCTATGGAAGATGCGACAGTAGACAAAGGCTCCTATCAAAGACTTGTGGGAAAGCTTATCTACTTGTCACACACTAGACCAGACATAGCCTATGCGGTCGGTGTTGTCAGTCAGTTCATGCACAATCCCAAAGAATCACATCTTAGAGCTGTGTATCAGATTCTGCAATACTTGAAAGGCACGCCAGGCAAGAGAATTCTGTTTAAGAAAGGGGAGAAGCTAACTCTTGAAGCCTACACTGATGCTGACTATGCAGGGTCTGTAGTTGATAGAAGATCAACCTCGGGTTATTGCACTTTCCTAGGAGGCAACCTTGTAACGTGGAGGAGTAAAAAACAGAATGTTGTGGCAAGATCCAGTGCAGAAGCAGAGTTTAGAGCAATGGCACTTGGGATTTGCGAGTTATTATGGCTGAAAATTGTCTTGGAAGATTTGAGAGTCAAGTGGGAAGGTCCAATGAAGCTTTATTGTGACAATAAATCAGCTATTAATATTGCACATAATCCAGTTCAACATGACCGTACGAAACACATTGAAGTTGACAGGCATTTTATAAAGGAGAAGCTTGACAGTGGCCTGATTTGCACTCCATTTGTCTCCACTGGTGATCAACTAGCGGATATACTTACCAAGGGGTTGTCTGGGAAGTTTTTTCAGAGACTAGTAAGCAAGCTTGGAATGAATGATATCCATTCACCAGCTTGAGGGGGAGTGTGGGAAAATCCGGTTTTCTAAATAAGGGAAACTGTGTGTGTACAGCTGTAATTAGCTAGGTGTACAACTGTAATTAGCTAGGATATTTTGTAATAATTCAGTCATTGTAATCCCTGATTCTAAGGGATTAATTATGGGTCAAATCCCTGATTCCAGGGAATTAATTATGGGTCAATATTTCTAGGATTAGTCAGTTTCCCAGTTTAGGGTTTCCTGATTTAGACCCTCTGAAGTGTATATATCAGTGTAATTTCATTTTGTTTTTAATATAATAGAATTCAGCCCCATTTTTGTCAAAAATTTTTCTTCCAGACCTCACATTTTATTATATCCATTGATAATAAAAAAATCAAATTATAGTATAACATAAATTTGACTATAAATAAGTCTAAAATGTACAATTGATTACCTCAATGAAAGCACGATTCAATAAACAAAAAACATATGACCACATCCCAAAGCACACGCAAATGTTATCAAGATAATAAAAAAATTTAGTAATATTCAAATCTGCAACCGTATCCGCATCCATATCTGACGAATCCATATCTGAATTTATATCTGAATCCATATCCGAGTATATATATCTGAATCCATATCCAAACTTGGATATCCGGGTTGTATCTAAAATTTGAACTGATATCCGTATCCGAATCCGTATCCAACCAATAATCCGAAACCATATTCGCAACCATATCTATATCCAACCGGTTTCAAATTTTGGCTATTATATCCGCATCCGTTTCGGATAAAGTTGCAGACTGGATCAGATCGGATCAGATATATCCAGACCATTTTGCACCCTTGTGTGACATACTAGGATCAATGGGTGCACATAATTTAAGTATGAAGATATCATTTTGAACTGTCTGAGAATACAAATGGCAGACAGTAAGACTGGAAGAAAAAACAAGATAAAACCTCAAACCCTTAACATGTTGACTAGTATAGTAATGGTCATCATCCTAAAAAACATGAAAATTGCAGATTGACCAACTATCATCTAACATTTTTATCATTTATATGGATCAGAAATACAAAATCCCAGGATAGATCAAAAGTTGATTATCCTTAGAGGTTACTCAAACAGAGAGAGGCACAATACTTCAACCTCTTTCATATAACAAGCTGATTCAATCGATTGGTAGTTAACAAGATTAACAACTTGCCGTTGAGAATATTCAGAGTTATGCAGACTCCTAAAATCCTGTGTCAGAAATTATACTACAAGCACAGTTTTAATCCTTTTAACTATTTATAGTCCGTCCTTTCCCTTTGCAAGAAGACATGTAAATTCAAAAATTATGCAACAGCAAAAACTGGGTCGCAAATATCATGAAGCATATACTATACATAGAAAACCATTTCATTAATGCTAGTCAATAAACGTACATATTTTATGATGCACTATAATTATAAAGAACGAATGAGGAGAGAATCTTACTTCAACTGGATTGATCCCAACATCTATCACAACTGCACCAGGCTTTAGCCAGCTTCCCCTCACTAAGTTCGCAATTCCACAAGCTGAAATAACAATATCAGCTTGTCTTACGATTTCCTCAGGATTGCTAGTCCTAGAATGTACCACAGTGACCGTTGCATTCTCTCTCTGTTATAAAACCAATAGTTAGCACTAGAAAAGCTATGCATATTAACAATCACCCTAGACGATAAACAAGAAGTTTTGCCAATCCATTATAACACCAAATATAAATAGCAGAAAAATATATGACACTAATATTACTCCTTATAGAACACCAATACTGTATTCTATTAATTAATAGGTCAATGATTTAGAGGCAAGTTACCTGCAACAACAATGCAGCAGGCATTCCAACAATATTGCTCCGTCCAATTACAGCTGCTCTCTTTCCTTTAATTTCAATGTTATGCCTGTGCAATAAGTCCATGCATCCTTTTGGAGTACAAGGAACAAATAATGGTTCCCTTCCTTGAAGAGCAAGGCAACCAATATTTAGAGGATTAAAACCATCCACATCTTTCTCAATACTGACAGAATTAAGAATATTTTGCTCGTTCATATGCTACAAAAGGAAATCCAAACAAACAAAACATAAAATAACCATTAAAGATCTTATTTACAAATAACATAATGCATTAATTCGTTAAAAAAAGCAACATACACGAGGAAGGGGAAGCTGAACCAAGATCCCATGGACAGATGGATCGTTATTAAAGACTGAAATATGCTTTAGCACTTCTTCCTCTGTGCAGTACTCGGGTAAATTAACTTCATAAGATGTGATGCCCACATCTTCACAAGACTTCTTCTTATTTCGTACATATGTTTGAGAATCTTTTCTAGAACCTACTAGAATGACAGCGAGCCCTGGAATAATACCAAATGCATCCTTCAGCCTTGCAACTTCAGAAGCGACTTCTTCTCGTATTTGTTTTGCAACTGCCTTTCCATCAATGATTATTGCAGATGCATTGTCGGTCATTGCTGCTGCACAGAACATCAATAAGGTAGAAGACTAAGAAAACATTAATGGCTTATTGGCATGCTATATATACAACAAGAGGTTATTGATTTCAAAAGTGCCATTAAATAATTTCTCAGAAAATCTTGATATCATATGAAATTTTATAATATCCTTTCCAACAACCCATACAAACACATTATTTAAAGCGTGAATATTCCATCTTAGAAAGAAGGTACCATGAAAGTTCACTGAAATAATATAAAGCTGACAGCAGAAATCAAGACATTGACAATCATCCTAATAAATTGATATTTTGAAACATTAAACATTTCCCTTGAACATTTTCCTTTTAGTTAAAAGCAGGTTTTAGAATCCATGATAACCAAACAACCTTGTTCATTTGTAAAAGAAAAAATATCCTCCCACATATGAGAAGTGTCATTGGAAAAGGTATGGCGACAATAATTTTTTGCTTTTCAATCCAATTGTAAGGGCCCAAGCTGCTATTTGCTTGTGACTTGTGAGTTATACACCTCCAACAAAAATAAACTACATCAGATTTGATGCCCACAGCTTCACAAGCCTTCTTCCTATTTCAGAACCCCACATGTGAGACCAGAATGATGCTGGTAGAATGTTTCACTTTAGATAAAATCAGGGTTTCTAGCTCAGACATTATTGTCAACGACTCGTGGACACAACTTTGTCTCTCTCCTCTTGAGGCCTTACTTGAATATCCATATCTAACTTTTATGTATTTCGATCATACTAAAAAGGGTTTCGTTAACAACTGACCAGCCCCTAGGACACTTGTTAAGAGTCATTAATTAGCCTCTCGATTACTTTAGAAAGAAATTTCATGAATAAAGTGCATGAGATTTAATGCTTTGAAGATACTGTATATGATGGGAGATGATACAGTGCTGAAGATTATTCCTCCTAAAAAAAGGTGGATTTAGACCCCCCCCACCCCCCTAGCCCAAAAAGAATTTTTTTTGAAGCGAAGGGGAGAAATCTAGCCTTGGACCATGCAACTAATTCTAATGTGGTGATGGAGCAGGCCATGAAGGAGAATGCGGCATACGAGGTTGTTATTTGAACGAACCAATTCAGGGTAAGGTAACGATAGAGGACATTATAAATGACATTCTTAGTGTAATCCGAAAAGATTAATGCCCGTAGTCAAGCACGAATGTTGAAGGTTCGTTGTATGAGAAACACACTGCATAAAGTGGCTACGACATTTGTCACGCCCCAAACTTATACCTATTGTAATAAAACCTAATTTTGGAGTATGATGTAAAATTATACAATGTGAACCAACTTTTTCTTTTATTGCTATTTCAAATATGAAGTACACAACATGCTTCTCCTTCTCTAGCTATTTACAAGTCTATTTACAGGATTAGTTCTCGACTAAGTTTTTCCCACAACTGTCACACCCTCGACCCGCGAGCCCGTTGAAGGTGTAAGCCATGGGATCCATTGAATATAGCGCGTTGCTTGACTCAAACCCTTATCAACAAGATTTTAAATGTCGGCCGACATGTCCGACATGTCGGTTTGAGGGCTTGAGCGACATGACATGGGCTTTTTCAACTCGTATGTCGGTTTTCAGGCCAAATTGGAAATATCAGGGCCAAATCGGGCATATCGGCCGATTTTTCAAAGCTGAAAAATCGGCCGATATGACCCTTTTTTAGATTTATTTTTTGTTATCAGGTTTGGGTTTAGTGATAAAAACCCAAACCCGTTTGACCCGTTCTCATGTTTAAAGGTTTCTTATGAACCCGATAGAAAGAAAAGAGAAAAATTAGGCTACAGCGGAGTTGGGAACCGATCACTCCTTTCGTGAACAACGACGTCTTTCCCCCACCTCCATCGCGGCCCCTCGTCGTCCATCTTCCGTTGCGCCTCGAAATCTGAACTCCAACCGAACCTGAGAGCGGCAGGGTATCCTGTCGTCCCATCTTCCGTTGCGCCTCGAAATCTGAACTCCAACCGAACCTGAGAGCGGCAGGGTATCCTGTCGTCGGGATAAAAGGAAGAGGGTGGTCGGTGACTTATCCGAAAGACCCTGAGCAGACAATGAAGAACCCCAGCACTGCCCACATGTGACGTCTCGTCGCCGCACTGTCTCCCTACGACGTCGGAATCCACTCATCATCGACGCCGCCTCTAGAATTTATAAAGTATACTTATATTGAATTGATGAATGCTTAGATTACATTTAGGATATGATATTATACATATGCGCACCACCCAATATGACAATCCAATATTTAGTCCATGTTCTCCGATATATCCCCGATTTCCGCTATCCGACATAAATTCCAGCCGTCCGATATGAACCCGACATCCGACATTTAAATCCTTGCCTATCAAAATCGACTAGCCGACGCTAAACTTGAGTCTTTAACTTTACTATTTAAACACTTATTTTCTCCTTCCACTAGAAGATGTGGGACTAACATTGGGCGTCGCAATCACCCCACCTTACATATGCAACATCCTCGCCGCGACATGACTGCTGACACGTCTCATATTACCGCTAAGCCGTGAACAACAGAGGTGGCTCCCACCACGCTTATAGGATGTAGCACTTAGCCTCAGACTTCTATCTGGCAAACCGTTCTCATACCATTTGTCATGCTCAGAATCCGCAAGCCTGTTGGGGGTGTAAGCCATGCAACCCACTGAACATAGCACATTGTTTGCTCTACACTACCAAAATTGACTTGTCGATGAATATTATTTTCTCTTCCCACTACAAGATGTGGGACTAACATTGGGGCATCGCAGCAATGGTCCTCTATTTATGCTCCTTATTGATATGAAAAAGGTGAGCTAATAAAAGAATGAGCTGCACTAGCATAGTGAAATCACCAATATATTATATAACAAATTTTAGTAAAATAACAAACAATTAGTAAATTTAAACTCAATTAATGATGAAAATAATTAACAACCATGAAATGCAATTTCCTCATTGACCGCCTTTCTTGCTGATATTCATGATAAAACGATAACAATAATAATAACAATACAATAACAATTTGAGGCATAAGTCTCACACAATCCGGATATATGTCGATCAATCAACATCAATCAAGTAACCAATTTAACACTGCTCGATGGTTTTCAATTTTACCGATCAATAAGCGTGGTACTGAGGATGTATGCAGTACATATACATCAAAAATTTTATAGTGGTTTAATAGATAAAAACCTTACATGCATAAAGTTGCAAAAGAATAACTTGGCATAGCTACAGAGTTAACATGTTCTTCAAGGGAAACTATTAATATAGTTATTATAACAACAACAAGAATCAAGCATTTATCTCAAATGTTTGGGGTCGGCTATATGAATCCTATTCTTCCAATCTACTTTGTTATAGGTTATCTCCTCCGTTAAGTTAGTCCTAATCATCTCATTAATTGCTTCTAACCAAATCAATCTAGATCTACCTCTAGATCTCCTACCCCCATTAACTATAATATTATCGCTTTTCCTAATCGGTGTACTAAGCGATCTATGTTGTACAAGACCAAACCATCTTAATCTATTCTCTCATTTTATCCTCGATAGGAGTAACCTCTAATTTCCTACAGATGCACTCATTTATTATCCTATCTTTTAGTGTATACCCACAAGACTATCGCAACATTCTCATTTCTGCTACACTCATTTTTTGAACATGTTTTTTAAATACCCAACACTCTAACCCATAAAGTATAATTGGTCTTATAACTGTCCTATAAAAATTTTCTTTTAGTTTCATTGGTATTCCTACGATCACATAAATCTCCTGAAGCACTCCTCCATTTCAACCATCCCGATTGAATTCGATGCACAACATCATCCTCTATCTCACCATCATGCCTAATATTTGATCCTCAATAGCGAAAATAATTAATTTTAGGTGTTTCTTGACCATCAATATGTACCATAGGCTCTCTTTATTTCCTAGTTTTACTCAAAATACACTCCACATATTCTGTTTTTGTTCTACTAATTTTAAAACCTTTAGATTCAAGAGTTTGTCTCCATCTTTCTTAGAAATAATGCATCTTCTGGTTTCATCAACTAACACTATATCATCAACAAATAACATACACTACGGAGGCATTGGGGGACATAGTAGCAATTCCAATGATTTGAGGGAGTACTATCAAAATATGAAAGATTTAAGAGACTAATGTAGAAAAAAACCCTTAAATTAAAATGAATATGCAAGTTATATGCATCACAAAATAGTCAAAATATCCCATCCAATTAAAATAGGTAAAATGTTTACTCTTTTGATGTTATGTTAATTAAAACCAAGGTTATCGATAGCGAATAACGTCGTCAAGGTTTTAAATGTTGGTTATCGGGGATTTATCGGACAGTCAAAATCCTTATCAAATAGCGGAAATCGGGGGTATATCGGGGATAAGTAGTATTTATCGAAGTAATATACTAGCAAATAATAAACAAACATAAGCTTGAAAAAAATATAATGTTAGTCAAAATGGAATAATAAACAAGCAAATAATAAGATAACATCAAGAATGAAGAACCATCTACGCATCTACATAATTATTGTTTAATCATGAGATTCATAAACTAACTTACTAAGTTGATATTTAGTAGTTATGAGCCATTATCAATATCCATAAATAAACATAAGCTAATCACCAATCAACCAAGTTCCAAAAGCAACAAATAGTTCATAATTTGTAAACATTCAAAGAGCAAATCCAAAATAAAATAAAAGCTCCCAAATCCTACTTATCGACCGATAAAACCGATATTTAGAGCCTACTTATCGGCCGATAAGTGCCTTTATCGCCGATAACTCGTCGATAAACCTAAAAAAACGATAACCGATTAAAAATCCTACTTATCCTAGCGGAAAGCTCCCAAATCCGATAACTCGACGATAATATCGGATTATCGGCCGATATTTAAAACCATGAACATCGTGTAGCGGTGAGGCATCAGTAAAGCTATTTGGGACTATTGCGACAAAATAGAG